AATTATGTCCACTTAAGTCTTTTAAATTTCAAACGGAATTGAATTTAATCAGATAGAAAAATACATAAAATACCGATTAGTGGAGTTTTTGAAAAATGGTTTCGACAGTTTAACGCATTCGACGTTCCACATTTATACAGATAAACATATTTACATCCCAGAGGTACTAAATCTTCAAATTTTTCTTAATAAAATGTGTCATTTTGGCCAGGATAACAAATATTTTCCCGACAATTCCCGATTTTCCTTTTCCTGGGTGGTAGTGAGGGAGATTTTAATCTACTAAGACTTTCATAATGAATACCAAAAATATACCTGCATAGGCTTCCTATGTATGTCACTTCTCAATTTATCAATCGTTATTTATCTATCTTAATATTTTATTAGATTTTCTTACTTTGACACTTTTATCTGATATTGAAAAGAAGATGATTATTTCAGGGGCAGTGCCAAGCTAAAGTAGAAATCAAAGCTTCCAGAAAACTTTTTCCTTCTATTTTCAACTGAGTAGACATACGAAGGTCGTAAATTTTTATAATCAAGAGCAGAGAGCAGCTGCAAATACAATGACAACACACCCGAAGAACATAAATATAGCTTCGCAATGCGCTAAACCAGATATACGTTGCACATGATATCCTCAATGTCCGTATTCTTTCGAATCGGTCGGGCATCGAAAAGCTTTGAATAGACTTTCGCCATTACGACCGATTTTGTTTGATTTACACTTCACTTGCAGCTCAGTTAGTTCGGGCTCTTTTGTTTCCCGAAAAAAGCTTAGATTGAAGTATTAAGCTAAGTGGAAACTGTGATCCAGCTCACAAAAGTTTCTAAACAATCAGTCCGAATTGAGAGTGTCGAAAAAAGTCGACTAGAGTTTGCTTTGTCATCCAACATTTTATATGCTTTTATCAAAATAAATTTGGTTATGGATTGGACTGATTTGCTTCTATTCTGCTAATAGTAAAATAATCATGGCAAATAGGACGAAAATACAATATTATTAATAAAGACTTCTAGCTGTATGTTTCATTTGATGCTATGAAGCCCATGAACTAAAAGAATAAATAAAGAAACCTAACATATAATTTAAAGTTAAGCAGTTATCAACCATGTACACACGAATACCACGACAATAATAGAATGGAAAGGAAAAAGTGTACTGTAGAGAAAAATACAATCACGAAAAGATCGCAAGAGACTTAAGAACAGAAATTCGGAAAACAAAAATAGTTTTTAATACTTCTGGATAAGACAGAAAAACTTTTTATAGCGAGGTGGTGAAACGCATTTTTAGCAAGTAGTTTTTCCTGCTTCCAAGATGACTGATATTATGGTTTCCTTAGGCTCCCCTTCTTCGGCCTTAGTACCACTTTTTCTTCCTAGATTTACACATTGTAGGTTTTCACATGTGTCCTTTTTGCACAGGTGTCTAAACAATCTTAGTTGTTGTGTGTTCCACTTTTTGTTCCTCTCATAAGCTTACATTTCTCGTTGTATTTTTTTTTTACTTCGTTATTTTTCTACCTTTCTATTCCCTTTACTTTTCTCGGATAATTTAAAACTCACTGTCTGAATGTTACTTTTAAGATTATTTGTTATTACTTAATTACAACTATTTGGTAGTATTTTTTATGAAGAAAACAGCACTAAATCGCCAACAACAATAAATTCTATATTTCTGTTTCCCACTTGAATGAAACTTTTGTTTTCGTACCTTTTAGCTTGTTGTTCATTATTTATTATTATATATTATTAATTTTCTGTGGTCCAACTAATAATAATTAATGAAAATTTAAGGAAAATCAACATTGGATCCGAGAAATTAAATTGGGGCAGAATGAAATTGCGTTTATCCTGAACAATAAAAAGACCGACATTCTCAAAGCTTAGATACAGCTTTCAAGTGTGTTTCAAGTGTGTTAACGTAATAAATGTGAGTTTAACGAACATATCTAAAAACCAACAAACTAAAAATTATGTGGAATTATTCATTCATTTCTCAAAATATTGGTCATAAAAATCTTGTTCAAATTGTCCGTTGTAGGGAAATGTTTCACGCGCACATGTTTGTGTATATGAAACACATCCTCTCGCTCACACTTTTATCTAAATTAATACAAAAATATATATTTTTTTTAATTTACAAATATGTTCAGGGAGCATATTGTTTCCTATGGACAAAAGTGGAAAAAATCTCGATTGCACGAGTGTATGTTCGACATTTAACTAACCGAAAGTTTTCAGAATTTGGATTCGGTCAATCTTACTTAAAAAACGACACAAAGGCATAACCGTTGATAACTTACAAAAGCCAGTATTACTGTATACCATTAATTTCCGGCCTGATAAAAGTTTGTGCCTCCGAAAAGTAAAAATGTTTCTTGGTATCTACCCCAGCTAAATGGGACCGTAGGGATGTGGTCATTCTTCAACAGTGGATAGATTCACGAATTCTTTCAAAATTTTTAGTTCACGGAAATTCTCCTAAAAACAACTGCTTTTTGTTTATTTAATATTTTTTCTTATAATGGTCTCAAGACGGTCTTGACTTTGACTCTATCTGGTTTGGCATAACTTCGTCGTTTAATAAACTTTTTCAAGTTGTTTTTCAAGCTAAAAAATCTTAACATACACAAATAGCACCGTTATGAAAAAAAAACGTAGCATTTAGATTTGGAAACAATTCATAATACGATATAGGTTCGGTGTAAACCCACACAGATTTTTCACTCATTATAATTGAACAAGAACTTTCCCGTATGTAATATACAATGCATATTTCGCTACGGACAATACTTTGTCAGTTCTTTTTTAATTTTGGGTGCAATGCTAACTTTTACTCCTTTTGCTTCATTTCCATAGAGATGAAGCTTAATGTTAAAATATTGTGTGGGTTTCATATGCAGGGTGTTTTCATTTTATTCATTTAACACGAATAAGTTTGCCCGGGACGCAGTAAACAAGCCGTAGAGGGCTTTTTTCGTTACAGACTTTATTTTAAGGTCAAAGGTATGCTAAAACATGTCCAACATCAAAGATTTTTGTAAACAATAATAAAATAAAGCTGAATGAACTGAATTTTTTCAGCCATTAACCTTTTCTGAAAGTATTTTGGTTTTCTCGACACACTTATTTCTCTTGCATGAAAGCGTCGCCGCATTTGATTTCCCGCTGATGTTATTATCTTATTTATTCAATCTTCCATCAGACTCTCGGTGTGAAAACTCATTTAATTAATCATTCTGGAGCAGTTAACTTAATTTCATTCAACAGTCGTGCTCAATAGACCATGATTAAAATCCCTTGTGGCGGATTAAAAAGGGTTTGCATGAAACGGCATAAAGCATGGACTTTTTACCATACATGAATAGATTCAGATTAATCACTGTACAAATCGTCGTTGCCGGTTTAACATATGCGATATCTGACAGTTGATCAACTTTCAGTGGATGAAAATTAATGTCTAGCATTATCAAGTGGCAAGAAAACAGAAATATTTTTTTCGCAAAAACTATAAATGCTACAGGATTTTGCAAAGAACACAAAATTGTGAATAAATGATTAGTGCCATCAACCAAAAAAAAAATAAGTTGACTTCATCCACCAAGTTCTGGGAGTTTTTGTAGCACGACATTCAAGAATTCACCACTTGTCCAAAACGGATGAATTCCATTGTTTCATCAAAATATGAGTCTAACATGCGAACAAATTCACAGCGAGTTTCACTAAAATACATTCTACCATTCTCCCAATGTTTCAAAAAAGGTACTTTTTTAAGAACTTTGACCATCAATAGCAGAGGAGGCAGACATTTTTTGTTAATAAAAGTTAGGTCAGATTGCGTCTTTCGATGCAAAGATTATCGCAGTATCCTTTTGATCATGTGCTTACGGGACACCCTGTATAAAAGGCAGAGCACGCAAAGGAAAGAAATAACGAAGATGGGATGAGGGAGCAAACTAGTGCCCTTACGAAAAAACCATAAGAGATAAAAAAGTGGATAAATAACATGTAATAATTCAAAAAATATATGTTGATAAAAGTTCAATTGCACACAAAAAAGTTCTGAACAAAACAAAAGTAGGGGTTCCACATTTCTATTCTGTATAAAAGTAAACTGAACTACAAAACACTACCATGAATGCTAGAATGGCACTCAATTACCTTATAATCTGTATAGTACCAAAATTGAATTTTCCATATTTCACCGTTTTAAAGAAAAACAACAAGAACTAATACTTGTCGCCATTTTGGAGATCAAATATCTTAAAAATGAGACCTCAAAGTAAAAAAAATCTATTCTATTCTAATTAATTGATGACCTTAGAGCTGTTGAAATCGAGTTAAGTTCATGGGAAAGACAGATGTGGCAGCAACTAATCTGTTCGAAAACGTTTTTTTCTAAACTGCACTTCTTTACAGAGCAAACAATCAGTAACCTAATCTGGCTATTTTATATCACTATTCATTCGCATGAAAAGTAATTATTATTCCTGCTAAAATAACAGCGCAAACTGTATAATCAACATCCATTACAGTAATTTTAAGCGTAAAGTAAGACGTAACGACTTCATTATCCCTATTCAGATGCAAGCGGTCTTGCAAAGTAAGGAAACGAAACTAAATATAATTGCACTTAAGAATCAAAGGGAAAAGTAAGATTATGAGATTTTCTTTAATCAACTTCCCAATTTTTATGCCAGTAAAAAGCTGTGTTAAAAACCGAATTTCGCAAATTGCAGTAGATATTGCAATGTTATAGTTATTTAGCCATATTATAATGGAATGAAAACAACAAAAGTGACAGTCTATCAAAACAATTAAAATAATTTTTCTAAAGAAAATAATTAAATTGTTTGCCTGGATTAAATCGAGAATGATTCCAAATGGTTTTTCCTTCAAAAGTAGCATTTTTTTCCTGCTCAATATTGAATCATATTATTAACTAGTCTTAAATAACATATATTTTTCTAAAACAATATACTTGTTATTTTCAGGTGCTGAAGGCAAATCGAGAACGACAACGACTATCCCGTCTTCAACAGCGAGAAATTGGTCTCGCCACAATGTTGATGTGTGTCGTGGCCGTATTTTTCGTCTGTAATCTCTTACCGATGGTAATCAACATTGTGGAAACTTTCAAAATACCCACCGAAGATGTATTCGATCTAAACATGATGATAAATCTCAGCAATTTATTGGTGACGATAAACAGCAGTGTGAACTTTGTGATTTATGTGATCTTTGGTGAAAAATTTCAAAGACTTTTCTTGTTCCTGTTTTGCCATAATTCGCTGTTCTTTCCTGGGCGCGAATCACCGGATGGCACCCATGAGGACAGTTTCGCATCGAATGGAGAGAGAAGCTTTAGGTAAGTGAAGCATTTGAAAACTTTTTTTGATTATTAAATTTAAGAATTAGCTATGAAATGGCATTGTGTGATGGCTGAATAATTTCGAACAAATACCCGAGGAGGAAAAGTTTTTAACAATATCAACTCGCTTTTGAAAAGCACTCCACTGCGGACCGCAGAAGCGTTCCGTTGGCAAAAGTATTATTTTAGGCCTTTATAATATTTTGACGCGCACCTTGGAATACTCTACACTTCTAGCTTTTATCCATAAAAATAAAACAATGTTAAACATATGGAAAATAGAGTTAAAATCTAACTAAACTAAATAAACGAACGTTCTTCAATGGTGTGTATTTCCCTTTGGAGTCATTTTGGAATAAGACGCGTAATGTTACATTCATTGATAATTACCTCTAGAAGTTGCTGTTTGTTTATCAGTTTGGCTTTCTCCTACCCTGCATTTATTTTCTAATGCTTATGTAGAGTGATTTCACATCACTTTCCTTAGTCAATTAATAACCAAAAATAAGCTATTTGCCTTGTAATATTTTCGCAATTACTACTGATTCTTTAATAAAGTAACGGTAATAGAGACGAAATGCGAAATACTAAATACCCACCAATATCATGCGAAAATCAACATGCTTTCAAACTGTAAATATTATGTTGTTGGAAGAAACTTCTATAACCAATGCAATTGTGCATGTATTGCAATTGCAAATACTCCTGAAAATGCTAATAAATATCCAAATGAATTGAACGCAATTAAAGTGACCCTAAATATGTCGGCATTTTCCTGGAGAGATATAAGACATATATATATATGTTTATCATCCCATTATCTTTACTCTTAAAATATCTGACTCTCTCAAGATATGAAAATCACTTTTCGTCGAACGTCTGTTCAACAACTTTCGCACAATTTTTTTTATCAGTCCTGGATTCTTTATCTTGCCGTTTTCCTGGCCTATGTGCCAAGCAGAAATCCTTCTTGGGCTTGAATAAATAATGAGGCTTTTAAAGTGCTTTTAAGTGCACCCCTGCCATAAACAACAATACTCGCTCTGCAACGAGCAAAGTGGAAAAAATCTACATTTAGCCGGATGATATTTTATCAAATTCATAGCACTTATATTATCACCTCGGATTATTAAGTTTCCCATATTTATACCAGTTTCAGAAAGCTACCTTCTGCTGAGCCTTTAAGCGTCTTGTAACTTTAACTAGTTTCAGTCGAAGTATATTATAAACTTTTCTATCTTGCCTTAGTTGGAATTAGAATAGTTTCTGCTGCGAAGTAAACCTAGTACGGCTTAATCCAAAAGTCCTAATTCCACATTTCCATGATGTTGCATTATGCCTGATTGTCCAAGAATTTCCACGTGCACTTGACAAGAAGTCGGCCTTATTTTACTTTTAGTAGTAAGAAGTTTCAAATTTTACTTCTGCTCTCAACGTTCGTTTAGCACATAGATATTAAATATGAACACTAAAGAATCAAAGGTAGTAAGAACAAACAATGAAAATAAAGAGGGAGCTGTGTGACAGGAATGTGTAAAATCTATGAAGAACCAAACACTCTGTATAGTGTTATATATGACATTTTTTGATATTTTTGAATATCAAACAGCTTCACGTAAACCAAATTATGAAATTTTGAATTATATCTGAAATTATTTTCAAATATTTAATCGGAAAGTTTAAATAATTTTATAAATGTTCATGCGATTAAGCGTTCGTCACATTTTGTCAACAATTAGTTTTGTTTTGAAATTGAAAATTTTACTGAAATTTGCGCCATTTATTGGAGTCAGCCGTTTCAATAATTAAAAGTAGCAGTTTTATTAAAATGGATTTGGTAGTAAGATACATTTAAAAATGTTTGATCACTATCCTAATATATGCTGAAGTATCTGCAGATCCTTAACACATATAGAGCAAATAGGTTTATTTTTATAACTAGCCTGCCAATTAAATTATCATACTAATTAGTGGGTTCGTGACAACCGATTTCCAAGCTATAAATTTTATTTTTTAAGTTTTCAGGTTTGGAAAGGGCAGATTTACAGAAATTATTCTAAAATAGTTTTTAATGTAAATTTTTCTAACACGCTTCAGCATGAAGGATGCGAACATTCAAATCAATAACATTTTTAATAGAAATTGATTCTAATTTAAATAAAATCTTTAGTATTTTTATTTCCGTCGAGCTATTTCCATATATGTTTATTCAATGAACGCAACAAATTGTCTTGAGGCAACGAAGCGCTCACAAAGGTTTGAGACGATTTGAATACATTCTGCTGCCAAAGCGCAATTTCACAGTTTTTCTTTCTTGTGAAATTGGCTTTATTCCAGCTTAATAGCAACATCTACGTGGTTGCAGACAATCGAATATCTAATATCAAAAGTCTGATAGTATTCGTATTATTAGTTTACATCAGTTATTAATTGAAGAATTTTCTGCGATTATTACGTAATTTTATCCGATTTCCAATTGAGATCCAATTTACGCTTTTCAAATATGTAGGTACTCATTAAGCAAATACATGAATAAATGCTACTCTACTTCTATCTTTCTGCGGAACTCAACGATCTTTGACTTAGTTTTGAAGAACATCTTCCAACTATATTTTCGAAAATTAATTTTTTAAACCCAACCCAATGGGTTAATATTTAAAAAAATATTTGACAACAACGATATTAACAACGACACGACCGTGAAAAGGCAAAAAAAGAAAAGATCCGGAGAAAGGACTTCGGAGGCGGCAGCAACTCAAAAGCGCAATTCACATTGTTACCCAGACCTATTATGTGTGTATGATTGAAAGTTCTATTTGCTTCAAATTTCCGCTTTGCTATTTGTGGCATAAAAACAACCTTATAGAAAGAAAGTCAATGAATTGAAAAATCTTGTCTCTAGCAGAGAATAAATAGAAAATAAAAACACTTTGAAAGGAATTGATAAATATCCTTACATAATAACAAAAAGAATATTAACATGCAGTTTCAAAAAGGGATGCGAAAAATGCGCCCGGGCACCATAATTCATCTGGCTGTCGTTCCAGTTTGCTATTTTTGTGCATTTTTGACCCAGACCTTTAGAATCCTCCGAGGACGTGGGCGAAATGCCGGGAAATTCTATAATTTATATCGTCTGATTTAAAATTGGRAAAATGCGCTAAAAGAAAGTGTCACCAGAACTGGATTTAATTTCGTGGATATTTCTAGTGCTTTAGATCGACAGGAAAAATGGAATCAATTGTTGTTGATTTTCAATGGAATAAATTGTGAGTGAACCAGCAATAAGTACCTGTCACAAATAAAATTTAAAAAATTTCACTTWCTGTATAAAGAAACCTCACTTCTTAGAWTGTATTTATCASTCAGAATGCAATAAATATCATACTACTGCCTCACGGTAAATTAATGGAAAACTATCTTCTATTTAAACGTCTATCTTTATATATTTTTGTCAAATATATGTTGCTTGCCACATTTGCATTGAATGAAAATGTGAGCATTTTACGGTATCTGACAATATTTTTCCGCTTGGAAAAATACTTTTATCGCATGTGGAAGCAACTCTTCCTATTACGAACGTAATATTGAACGGTGCCAATAAATCTCAATATCAACAGCTTTGTATAAATTTTTTATCACGTGCCGTGTATTTTTTATTTTTTGATCCAGTGCATGTGACATAATCAACAATAAGCAAAGTGAAATGACCTAATTACGTCTGACTATCCAATGTGAACGAGCCAGAAGCTAAAATCTGAATTTATTTTTTCCATTCTTCAAGCTGCTTTCGAGAGACAAGTAGAAACAGTTGAACATTTTAATCATTTACACCCTGTTAATCATAATTTAAAATTAGTTCATAAACCAAGGAAAATCATACAAAACTCCGCGTACTCATATTATGGAATGGTGTAAGGTTTTTTATAACGGAACATCAGCTTTTTTATAACAACATATTAGGTAAATTATAGTGCAAACAAAAAAAATTGTATATTTCTTTATTAAACCGCCCTGYTTTGTTGCGACACTTAAGTGAAAACAAACATTTTGGGCTCGCTAACCGGTTTCGTGTTTCCCACTATAAAAGTATATTAAAGCTGTCCAAGAAGATAATAAATCCTGTWCACACAAGATGCTATTTTTTTCTTYTATTTTTCCTTGTTGARCAGTAAATAGCCCGMATCTAATACAAAAGTTTCGGTCTTTATTAGGAGATTTTTACGGGAAAAAATCGGAAGGAACCCAAACTAATCCATTTCGATAAATTGATAGCATCTAATCGTAGCAGGAAACAGTAAAACAAACTGTTATGGTTTTACACACTATTTCCAAATAAAAAATTCATGTAGTTAAATRCTCGATTCTTAAGGTATGGAATAATATAAAAAGTTATTTTAATCACAACATTCTTTTCCCATTTCTATTTCAACGATAATACACTTATCGACTGCTCTCGTGGCTCTCGTGAAAAGTAAATTGGTACTTTAGAGAGAAAAATAAAATTTCCGCACTTAGGTCAACCAATACTAAGAACGAATGTAATTTATCAACAATTAAAAATCAAAATAATTTTTAAAACTTCTTAAGAACTGTGCTTTGACGATAATGTTAATATAATAATAATAACGATAATAAGTGTGCTCACAATTAATTTGATCCAAAATCCTCAGAAACTCAACTTTTCCAGAGGATTCGACAAAAGTAACATTTGACTCATAAATCTTCATATTTTTTATGAATATATGATACCTTATATTATTTACCGTGAAGCCCCTCGAATAAACCAGCCTACTCAATATCCGATAAATTGGAGGAACAGGAAAAGTGGTTTCTTTTATTCTAAACAGTTCAAAGAAGAAGAAAAAAACATGTATGGCTTTTCACTGCCGGTGACCAATTTTCCTTAAAAACGAAGAGGCTATTACAATAACACTACATCCAATTCGCTTTGATGTGCGCGAATTCTGGCGAAAAGTCTTTAAATTATCGACTATTGCATTTCCCTGTAGCGAGGCGGAGTTCGAACGGTAAATATAAAAGCGAGGATTCACGCACGAAGGAATTCTGATATTGTGGAAAGTAGACGATATTCTAGAGGATGCTTAAAAGATATTGTAAAACTCAATTGGTTTCAACGTTTTAGGAGATTGCTACGAATCGCAACCAGAAAATAAAATATTATTTTATGTAATGTATTTTCTTTACAAATGTACAAAAAGGCAAATATTTTCAGTATTTTCATTAAAAGGGCCATTTTAGATTGAAAAGTACTAAAAGACTCGAGTAATAATTTCCACCTAAATCGGTTACCACCCTGTATGTGAAATATATAGGATGTAAACTATTCACTGTGTTGATAATCTGACAAATTTAACTAGAGACAAGCTTTAGACTAAATCATGTTTACGCGAATGACCACCATATTGCGTGAAGTATGCTGAAAACGCAGTGTTTCCGTTCTATTTGTTTTATTGTTGAATCACCCTGTATATAGGAATATGGAAAAATGCTAAACTTAGGAAGTACTATTCTATTTTAACTCTTTACAATAAATTTTAATTTTAATTGATACTGTATTTGTCTTTAAGCAATGTAACCCTAAAGCAAGCGGATTTTTGGTTATTTGGGTTAGTTTGGGTTACATTCCATACATTCCACAATTTAATATCAATATCAATATCCAATTTTTTATTTGCCAGTTTCGCAATTACTTTTCAACGAAAAAAGTTTCTCCTATAATTCCTATAGACAATTTACGTAGAAAGACAAGCAACTAATTTCGCTAAGTTTTTGTAGGAAATGTTTTTCTTTTTCATCCCTTGGAGCTTATAGGGTTAGTTTTCCTCGGTCACGAATTGTTTAGGGATTGTCTTTTTCTGCGGGTTTTCGTTCGGGAAATCGCTACAATCTGTTTACTTCGACAGTTATATTTAATTTACATCTATGAATAAGAGTATATTCACATATTTGCTGTTGTTACATTACCACACGAATTTACGAAACGTGTTGACATCAGTATTTATTCAATTCCAAAAAGGCTGCTTAAACAGCATTATTTATAAAGCTGAACTGGAAAGTTTCACAAGCACTCCAATAAAACATAAGAAACTCCCGAGTTTATTTTAGGCGTTTTTGCTCTGTAACGCTTAGATTGAACGTAATTTAGATATATTCTCCGAATATTTGGGCTCCCGAAAAAGGGAAATGTTGATCTGGAATGTAAATATTCGGGGCAAGATTGTCAAGCAGAGTCTCCCTATTATTTTCCAACACTGATTAGCTCGGGAAAGTTTGCTAATTTTATTTGTGATTACTTACTTGTAATAGTGATTCAGAACATCAGCAATATTTTATCTTCCAAAAGAATACCTAATGTAGCAATAATCCGGACTACGAAGTTATTTATTATTTTATAACAACAATATTTGGTTGTTCAAATGTTTAATGGACAATCCACATTTATAACAATTGAATTAATTAATGTAATGCACGTGGTTTACAGTTCAATTAGTTCAGTTGGTAATCAATTGTAATATAGTGTAACTCAATCAATCAAAAAATTAATTCGATTAAACCGTTGTTGTTGAGTTATTATGATTTGCTTTGAACTTAAATGTGCGTTCACTATAAATAATCAGTGAGTAGGAGTGGAATGCAATGCAATAATATTTGGTATTAAGCTAGTTTTGAGTCAAAACTTGTTATTAGAAAATAATAGTTTCTTGTTCAAGTGGCCTGTGGCCATGACAAGTCCACATTTCGTAAAAAACAGTGTATCATACTCTTAAAAATTATGATAAATATATCGTTTTTCGAAGTTTTTGTTTGCGTGTATAATCTCAATTTTAAACTTGTTTGTTAGGAATTTTCTTTCTTAATTCGTGAGCTGAATGAAATTATTCTCGACCATTTTGAAATTTATGTAAAATATTGACGAAAAACTACACGTGTATGTTAAACTTTGTGTTTTTTTTCAACCCATTATTTGACACAGTAAACATGGTTTACAACTATAAATTCCTTATTACCTAATCGTTAAATTTAAATTAACCTCTAGGACCATCCAAGAATGAAAGTTTCCAATGAAATATAAATAGTTATAAATATTTATGTTTTAATAATAAAATATGGGGAAGCAATAAATAACAGGACGCTATTTGAACCAACTAGATTAATATAATATGTTCTGCTTTGCGGAAATAAAATATAATATTTTCAAACTGAGATATACAATGTACCTTTAAGTGGGGCAAAAATAAATTGTGTCACGTGAAACCTTTCACCGTATTTTTACGGTATGTTGAAAATAGATTTCGAAAGTCTTGAAAAAAAGGTTTTTGCGACAAAATAATAGCTTCTAGAATTTACCAAAAGCATCTTTCATTTCGTCAACATCAAAGTATTTTTTCATATTTTTATATATTTTTTTACTTGCAGGCTTCATAGACAAAGTACAAGCATGAGCAGAAATGGCGGAAGCAGACACAGCAGACTGAATGGATCGACGAACGAGAGTCGAAAATTTGGAAAAACTCCTAGTCCAGGTAATCACTCTTGGCAATAAGGAATTTTTCTATCAGGAGAGTGACTTAGAAGGGCAAAATGTTTCTACTGTTTTTATAATTTAAAATCAAATTAAGAGTTGAAATTCTATTAGCTGAAGTTGATCAAACATCCAAATAATTTGCAAATTATGTCTAATAAAGTGATATAAATTGTTTTCTCAAACGTCCCCGTATATTTTTGGGGAGTATCTATATTTTCCTTGTCATTCATGCAAGCCCCTTACATATTAAGTGGAAAAATTTGTTTTATTTTGATTCACCTTCGAAGGCAAGTAAAATTAACAAGCATTAAATTTATATGTGTGTCTCATATGTACACTTAAACTTCCACAGATATTATAAACTTTAGTTAATTTGAGTGTTCTTCCATTACTCAGAACTTCTAACAGAAAATATTCCATTGCAACAAACCCATTTGTTTTTAGAAATAGTTCGCAATTTTGATTCTTTCTGAAAACAGAATTGTATGTTTATTTGCCTGCTTACAACTATCACCAGACTTCTCATAACGTTGATGTTTTTGCTCTCGAAAAATCAGGTTAAAATTATAAATTTAGTTGTAAACATCCAAAATTTTCTTCGGAAAATGATCACATGCGTGAGATTCTACTAGTTCCACTTGAGCTCTAATATGAAATTCGGCAGGGCAGCCAATACTATCGTGAAAATAATTCTCACCAGCTTTATAGCCACCAAATTTTTCCTACTTTTCATAAAATACTGATAAAAGAGTAAAAATTGTTTCCTGAAAATGCCATTTTTGTTTGGTTTGTTGCTCTTGCAACATTGTTGATAATTGTTCTTATGTTATTCGATCGATTAATCGATTAAGAAGCTCTTAGGACCGAAAGCTGAAAATTTAAAATCAGACTCAAGAATCAAATCGTATTCGTGGCTATAAAATTAAATAAATAAATATAGGGAGTGAATGCCAAAAAGCACGTTTCATAAATATTTAAGCCCGTTTGAGATGTTTTCTTCAGCCCATATTAAAACTCGACGAAATTTTTTCATTCAAATTTATAATTAATACAGTTTGAAATTTTTAATCAAATTTGTTTAATTTTATTGGAAATTACATCGTTGCCTCATGACTGAATAATGTAGGGATTTTTATATTACCAAACCGGGGCTTCGCAGCATTAACATCCTGGGTGAGATTTAATTTTCGTCCTCCCAGGACGGAAATAAGGGAGTCTCCAAGAATATGAATTCAAAGATAAATGCAAACTGGCCCAAAAATGTCCCAATTGCTTTTTAATTTGATGGGATTTTAATTCCATTTTGGGAAATGTTTTTACAGCTTCGAATCATAATTGACCATCTCAAACTAATTGGCTCTGAACTGGTGAACTCACAAGCAAAAGTTTGTTTAAGAGTGTTTGCAGAAGCTGTTCGGGTTTATGGCTTCAAATTTTTATAAGTGAATTTTATTTATTTCAGGCCCATGTGTTTACTACCCGGCGTCTCGAAGCAAGGAAATTTCAGCCTACACTTCCCAAACATTTATAGGCGGTCCCGAATGACATTTACACTCGACGGACGTCTGAAATCGTGGATCGGAAAATCAAACTCAACCCAATATTGCAAGGGTTTCCGTTTCGCTTCCATCATGAAAAGGCCCTAATTTAATATGAACCGAAAATTCACACAAAAGCCCAGCACATTCGCTAACGACTTTTTAAGAGATAAAATTTTGCCCATCAAAACTCTTAACATTTTTGTTAGCTTTAATCAGCAAAGTTCATCAACAACCCGTATGCAAAATTGGTAGATCAAATGACTTAAAAGAAATGCAGCTTTTGGATTTAAAAAAATGCTAATTGGAAGACAGTAACGGCATAATGAGTCATTAAGTTTTTTACTCAGCGATTTGAAGAGCTAATGAGCTGAAGCTGAGCTGTTCTAATAGAGTTTATTTTTAATTCGAAGAAAGTTATTTCATAACGTGCAAAATTACAACAGCACGTTTTTAAAATGTCAATATTCAGTTACAAGCTGATAAGTTTTGCCCCCCTTTTTTAGAGACGCTTTCAAATTGAAAATACTGTTATGTTATTTTGAGGAAGGTAATTTTTGTAACACCGGCGGTGGTAACACGAGTGAGTAATAGCTCAAGATATTCTCTTAAAAGCGATGTCATTAAAAATATGTAATGGTGTGTAATATGAACAATGAAAATATTAACTACAGTTTTAATTATGTTTGTGCTTTAATTAAACATTTGGGATTAAAATAGTACATAATAGCTTGAAAAGAAAATTCCTTAAAAACTTAACTCCATTATCAAATGAATCAATTAAATATAAACAAGAGAGTTCCCGATAAGTAGAAAAGAGTACAGTCATACGCATGCCAAAAAAATTAACTAAATATTACAAAAGTACAAAACCACTAGAACTGTTATATTACCCTCTCTACTAAGTAAAGTGTTGGAACATGTTGTAAAGATCAGACTTGATGAGAAAACAAATACACTTGACAAATAATATACAAACAACGCATTTGAACGAACGAAAAACCGCAAAACTGTTGGTAGTGCTTGGAACAAGGAAGGACATTAAAGGACTTTGCGAATTTGAATTGCTGAATTCTATAATTCATAGCAAAAGAAACCTATAAATTGAAGTGCGCATTGGCAAGACGTTTCACTTTTGCTTCCGTCTTGAAAAATGCCTCCTCAAAGATGACCACTCTCCCCCTTTTTTGCAATATCTTCTGTCATGACATTTACAACCACGTTTTGAAACCCAAACATTCAGATTAACAGTAATTTAACAAAGGATAGTACACATTACAATGCGCCGACGACACTACACTTCTAACGCACGATGAAACTACCACAAAGGCTTTGGACACTTTTTCCATCCTACCCATTTTTTTCTAAAGATTGATTAGTGATTCACGCCGCAAGTGTACAAGCCCAAAGATATTTTTGCTATCAGTTTTCTTGCATATGACACTGTAATTTAGTCTATGTTTTTAGTATTTTTAGTCATTTGTTTTATTATAGACCATTTTTTCGGTATAACTCAAGATTCTTCGTGAGACATGTTAGGCGAGGTAGTTTTATAAGTCAGTGACTTTTTGAATGAAATATTTTACAGACAACAGTTGACGGGAATAATGTTGAATTTAAAGTTACTCCGCGGGAAATTCAAAAAGTCACTGACTTACCAAACGACCCTCGTATATTCGTGCATGATGAAGGTTCTAAAACGCCTTCAAACTTACGTTACAGCAACGTTTTAGATTATTTCAAAAAATTGAAAAAATCGCGTGCCACTGAACCTCTCATGGTCGCTTTTACTTATTTAAAATAAACGAAAATTTAAAAACTAATTTGAAAGGAGAAGAAATTAAGTAAAGTAAATACGTTCAAACACCTTTAATCTTCAACCCTTAAGGATTTAGGAAAAGAGCTTAAGTACACTTTAAAAAAGAAAAGAAGCGGCAACGCAGGAAATTTTTTCGGCGAAAAATCACACCGAAATAGGAAGCCAAAAACTTAACGCAACCGAAATTTTTACAACGGAATTTAAATTAAAAGCAGTGCGACTAAGAATATTTTCGCTAAATCAAAACTTTGTCAGGACTATACCAAAATGATACTGTCCTTAGTCGCCAAAGTCACAACGCGTTACAAGCATATTGCATCAAAGTTTATGATTCTATTAAAGCTCCTTTATTCGAGCTTAAAATGTCGGATCTGTACTCTTATGTGGCGAAGCGCAGCTCATGTGCTTTGTATGTAAAGTTAAATTATGTAATTTGAGATATGAGGCGCATAATAACTCAACACATTGAGGAAAGCCACACTTAAAAGCCATCTCGGATGAAACGTTTAGTTACGTGTCGAGAGGTACCGCAGTTAAGAGCTTTCCGAACCGGAATATGTTGACATTGGCCAAAAGGAAAGAGGATTCTACACAGGAGAAGTTTAAAATAACCGTTGTTATAATTTATAATATTCAAATAATAAAAAAATAAGTAGCCTGAGCAAATGTTATCAATATTTAATCATTTAACCTATAAACCTGTACAGTAAATAATCGGTTTAAGCTGGGAGCAGCAAATATGCGTCGTGTATTCCGATGATTTATTGAGCCTCAGAACTATTATTTTACTGCAAATCACGACGGAATTGAAAGCTTTTACTTATAGATGAGTTGAAAATTGGAAATATGTTGCAACTGAACTCGATGAACAATAAAGCAATTTCCGGTCTTTCAAGCCTTCAGCGAATTATAAAGTTTTTGCCAATAATGAAATAAGAATATAAAAATTATAAGAAAATTAGTAACTAATGATTATGTAGGAATTCTCCAGTGCATTTTTTTTATCTAGACAGTTAGAAATAAGCAAAAGAAAATAAAAGTAAATATTTCAGTTTTTTAAATCTAAGTCAGGTAATTGTTTTTACAAGGAAACCGACGTCATGATTTAGTATTTAATGCCTTTATTCCTTAGAGACGACTTTATATTTGAAGTTAAATTTGCTAATCTCTTCATTTATTTTTAAACTAGGATTGCACAGTGTCTACTTATATTGCTATGTTACATATTTTTTATTCTTTGAATCTACTCACTTGGTCTTATTAATTTCCGGCGTATTCGTTTTCTTATCTAGTTGTTTTTATAGCGTTAACCACCATTTGTTCACTTCGTTCATTGTGCAAATTATAGGCAAATTGTTTTGGGCATTCAACCGTTTCGGTATTCGAGGTTGGAGCCAATGAGTTCAGACAATAATTGCACACCGAACCGTATTTTAATATAGTACAAGAACAACAGATTAAAGTATAAAAATAATTAATTAGTTCATCTTTTTTAACGAAGTGATCAAGTTCACAGTTTTCTCACTTTAAAACTGAACACAAAATCACGACGACGTGTTTCCCCGCTTTGGATTTAAGTTGCGTAATTTTTTTACGATCACACACAAAAGAGCGCAGATGATGGAGTTTCCATATTGTTACACATTTCAAAACTTGGTGCGAAGTTACTTAGATATCAACTTGAAATTTTATTTTAACCCTTTTTTAAATTTTATTTAAAAAATTTAGAATTTTAAAGTTCTCGAAACGTTAATTTTCCAAATGCAGGGTAAGTTCGTAATTTATTTAAGCTAATGTTTAACTGGGTTTTAAAAATATTCCAATGGGAAACTTTGAATTAACGAAAAAAACCATAGATTTAAAAAAATATATTTTAAGCATCTTACAAGATTTTGTCAAAATTCGTTCAATTTTTGACTGAATTTTTAACTGAATAATGCACAGCAAAGAGCATACTGGTCACACTTAATTAAAAACTTCAGGACAGCTATTTGGAATTCCATAATAAAAATAATGATTTTTTTAGTTAATTCTAATTGCAAAAGCATCTGGAGGACTTTCTACAGCGACGTTTTGTAAATAATTTAATTTGTTTCGAGATTTATTAACAGACATTCTTACGGAAACCTTCCTGACCGTCTGTCCCTGTTGTTTCTAGAATCTTCACAGAAATAATAAGTGTATTTTCTTCTTATTAAATTACTACAGGCCGCAGTGTCATTCTGTTTGTCGTTCAGAAGATGAGAAGCTACGAACGTGATGTGGGTCTCAATTTGCTTGCCCCTCTGCAGTTATATTTCTCAAGTCTGATGAAACTGAATTATACTTAGCGGTTAGTATCATTAAGTTAAATTTTGTTTAATAGAAAACGAATGTATTTAAATTTTCGCACAAAAGGACATATTTTGGAGAGATCAACGAATTAGTTTCCACAATCTTCCCCGACATGATACACGTTTAATTAAAATTGCCATTGCGAAAGTCAACTTATCCGCTAATGCTAAATATATTTTGTAATCTATACGTATTTTTTAAGGCCTTTTCATGATCAGATTTACGATTTTAATGCGTTCGCCGCACTCCGTTTCGTATCAGTATTTTTTTAGTTTGCTCATGTTGTAGACTAGTGTTTAGGACTGACTATTGTATGTATGTACACTGTAAAAACATGCACAGAGAGCTCAATTACTGTAAATATGAAATGAAAGGGGTAAAAGCAAATACCCTTTTAGTCATAGATAAAATATAGAATATAATGCAGTGAATATTTAGGTAGGGTTTTAGGAAATTTCATACAAAGCTGTTAAGTTTTATCACAGCCTATGAAGTCATAGCGGGTATAGTTTCAAACTTTCTGGTCAAATATAAGGTGTTCCACTTATCTTAAGGAAATGTGAGCCTTGTGCTTATGGCTAATACTGACCTTAAAAGCCGCATGGCAATTATGGTTATCTTGTCACGTTCCTAATTACGATTGGTTAAAACTAATGATTTTTTCTACTGTTTCCAGAAAATAGCACGCGGCTTCAATTTTAATTAAAGCACGCTTCTAAAACCAATTAATGCCATTCCCTCTCAGTTCAACATTTAACAATTAAGCTGCTCGTTATTTATTTAGACACAAGAAACGACACAGGGATTTGCAAATAGCAACAAAATCAATTGACTATTCTAAAAATAGCTACTGCATTTTTTTAGCAAACATAATCTTCACGGCAGTAAGTATAAAATTGCTTTACTCATGGATGTTGAAACATTTGCTTAGCAAAGTGTTGCGAATTTTAAGCAGCTTTGGCAGGAAGTTGGATGAAGCAACACATAGAATTCCACTCCCATCGAAAGCTTAAATACGATGTAACTGAATAATTAAAGTTATTATACCAATATTGCTGGAAATCTTGAGTATTAAGAAAATTTGTGGGATTTTACTGCTGTTCCCTTTAATCAAATTAGGCCTCCATCCATTCAACAATACAAATTTAGTTCAAATTCACTCAAAATTTTATCAGGCGAACTATTATAATTCACATGTTTAAAAAATAGCAAATTTAAACGTTTTTTGTCCATCAAAAGGTAAGATAAACATGTATTTCAAAAATCTTTAAATTTATGAATAGGTGTAAAGTAACCCAATTAAATGTGTCCAGGATATTCGAATAGAACAAGCACAAACAGCTAAATCTTTTTTTTATCCACTTAAAAGCTCCATCCACTGAATATTACGCAACATTTTTCGGCAATTCAGGATAAAAACTTACTTTCTAAAATTTAGTTTGGTCGCCAATTCCCCTCAGATCTTTAAAGCGAGTTTACTGCATAAACTACGCTCCTAATCCTAAATAATTAAGAGGCTGTTATTGAGTTAAGAAACTTGTTTAGCTTAGAGTCAAATAAAAACCTTGTTAATTTGTAATTATCTGGACTGAGTAGAATGTAAAATAATGTATACACTAATACAACAGTATGTCACTGAAATAAAGCGATTTTTGAAATTTGTAATCTGCATAATAGCTGCTAGTCCCTTGAAGTGTTTTGTCTCTGTAAATATGCCAACTCCTGGACCAAAGTAAGTCATATTCTAGTCAGGTAGGAAGAAGTTTAAACACCTAGATTTAGTGTAAATAGATCTTAATAGTTACAGTTGCTGTATACAATAGTGAAATTATCTAGCTTCTAATAAATATTTTTGTGAAAGTATAAGTAGATGTTTTATTTAAACTTCGGACTGTTGGAACGCCAATAGTTAAACTGATCAAGTAAGTTCGGTTTTACCACAGTCAACTACAGCAATTTGATATTTTGAAATAATCATCAAGTTGCTACTGAAATTCTTAAATTAAATTTAAAAAGGTTTAAATAACGCTATAAAAATGACAATTCCATACTGATATATGTGAAATAAATTTCACCCTACATACTTTTCGTGCTTTTCAGGTCCAATTTTGTTCCTCAAAAGGAAAGTTATTTTAATCCAAAGCCATTGCTTTATTTGTTCCCTTCGATAAACCAGTTTTTATTTGACTCTCGTGAAGAATTTAATCGAGCTTTTGGGCGGTAGCGTGCGGGCTCTAAGCTTTTCCTTGAATCCTAATCTGATTGCCATGTAAGTAATTCGTGCTATAATAATATAATTTGGATAATTAACAGAATATTAACACATATTTGACCTTTCTCTGAAATTAAACTAAAATTTATGTTCTCTTAACTTCACGCTTAATCTGTGGAGGCTTTCGCAAAATAACCGACACGCACAAATATTGATTGTTGCTATAAAATATCGTTTTATACAACTGGTTTGGGGTCAATGTAGATGTAGACTGATTGGCGTCAGTTCTAATGCGTTTTAGAGATTTTGTGAACCAAACTGTTTTTAAAATTTTGCACCTATACAGAGCGTCCCGGTAAATGTTGGCATATCAAAACAACACGGTAAGTTCCTATAAAAAATAATTTCTACAAATGCCGCTTAAAACAAGTTTTAAATAAATAATGCAAAAGTACTTTGTATAATTTGATATCGATATTTAGCTTGCTGTTTGAGTTTGCAAGGCCCCATGTTAGTGTTTTC